GGTCTAACTTTACAGAGTAGGCTTCATCCAACCTGGCCATCCTGAAAGACAGTGGACAAGGCTCTCTGGCACTATCATCCTTCACTTTTACCAAAATTTTACCCCATATTATTTTTTTAAAAGGAAAATCAAGTCATCTTTTAAATAATTATCTCCTATGCTTATATACTTGTGGAGTCTTGAATTTCTTCGTCTTTTGGTCATCATCCCAAATCCTCCTGGCATCTTAGGGTACCTAATTGTGTCTCTAACACAGTGCATTTATGAAAAATATTGAAATTATTATTAACTATTAAGAGGCATACACTGATGTATTTCTGGTGCAATGGAGCTAGATTGCTTGCTTTAAAAGTTTGGCTTTGGAATGGAATGGTGTTGGGACCTGTGGAAGCTACTTAACTTTTCTCCGCGAGTTGTCTGACATATAAAATAAAGTTTCTAATATTGTCCTTCCTACCGCTGTTTGAAGATTGTGCAAGTATATATATGGCAATTAAAACAGTGCCCAAAGGAAGCACTCAATAGAACTCACCTCTCATAATGGTAATCTAGGGACCTTCATACTCATAGTTATTCCCACAGGCTTCAGACCTAACACATTCTCTGTCACAAATATGCTGACTAAGAGGGTGCCTCTGAAGCTATCTCTATGTATATGTTAATTTAAAAAGTTTTATCCCTTATAAAACAGAGACTTAAGGATTTCTGGTAAATGCAATTCATCTGAAGTGACAATTCCACTTCTTTTCTTTTCTTTTCTTTTCCTTTTTTTTTTTTTTTTTTTTTTTTTCAGTACCACGGATTGAACTCAGGATCCTGCAATCAGCAGGCAAGTGCTTATTCTACTGAGCTATCTCCCCAGCCCCGACAATTCCACGTCTTAAGTTATTGTTTGATGATAAAAGAGGCAGAAATGACTTGGAACCCAGCTATGAGAAGAGGGAAAACACTAGCACTGCACACGCAGGGGTCTGTGTTGGTGTAAACAACTCTCTGGGCACTCTGGAGTCTGTGTGCTCATACACATGGATGGGGAAACCTGTAGGACAAGTCTTTACTTGCTTATTATGAGAAATTTGCCATAACTGAGTTAACTTTTAAAGTAAAATTGATTTTTCTCTTAATCTATGGTGTGGGACCTTAACTCTTTTCTACCAGTAAATTCAAAGCATTCATTAGAGAAGAACACTGGATTTACTTTCAGACACTGATAAAGTATTTTTGCAAAAATAGTAAGTATAAACAGTATTGTAGTTTGATTTTGCTTGAAAAGGAGCCATATTTCAAGAAAATAAAATAATAAAACTATGAAATGACAAATGTCCAGTAAGCCACATAAAATTTCCTTGATCAATATGAGGGTACGATCTTACATTTGAATGTGGGAAAATAATTTTTCTCTCAATAACTGGAGAGGGGCTGGGGAGATGGCTCAGTAGAATAAATGCTTGCCTGGCAAGCACAAGGGCCTGAGTTCGATCCCCAGTTCCACCAAAAAAAAACCCAACCAACCAAACAAACAAAAAACCCCACAAAAAACTGGAGATTTCAATAATAATAACTATGCCAATTAATATTTACTACACAAGCCTTGTCTTCAAGAACACAGAAAGTCAAATGTGAACCTCACTGGTTGTTTCTTGTCTTTGTGCCTCTTTCTTTTGCATTGACCTCTGTACTGTTAGTAAGAATTTACTTTTTTTATGTATTTGTTATGGGTTTCACTCTATAGCTCAGATCCATAGTGATTCTCCTGTTTTCAGCCTCCCCAGTGCTGGGATTATAGGCACGCGACACCACACCCTGTATCAGCGGCCAGCTCAGTGTGCCTGGGGGTGGGGTCGGTGTTGCCTGTGGTGTAGGGTATAGAACCCCAGTCCCTGTGCTTGTCTAAGAAGGTGCTTAGTCCACTGAGCTATGTCGCCAGCCTAAGAAATTGCTTTTCTATTGGCTATCTATAATCTTGTCTAGAAAGAGCAAGAATATGAATCTCTTATATCTTTTTGCCTAATACATAACATGCTTTGCACCCGTCTCCATGCTCTCATAACTCTATTCCCCAGTCTAGACGCATCAACATAGAGTTAATTAAACTTTAATTAGTTTCCTCGTGGAAAGAAAATCTTGGCATGCCATGTTTCATTTAAATGAGAAATGCATTTGAGAACCATGGAATTTTGTTACCAGGTATATGTAGAAATGATGCTGCTTATGTGTAATCATAAATTACATGTTATACATTTTTATATCAAATTTACAAATACTAATTTGCTGTTTAAGTTAACTGAATAAATTCTGAATGCTCCCAAGAGTCATAATAGTGGGATTTTGCAATACCAAACCACAGATTTCATCATCAAGGCCATAGATCTGCTTCAATTTTACCCAATGGAAGTGAAATAGTGTTTTATCCAGGATAAAATACAAATGCCTTTTTCAACAAACCACCAACTTTATCATCTCCAGTTCTGGCAACTCATGTCTATAGATCTGAGTCAGTGAGAAATAGAGAACATACTCACAAAGAAAGATTCCAGGAACTTCAATGTGACCTTTATATTCCATTATACGCAAATTTTAACCTAAAATAGTTCTAGAGCCATGCTATTTTTTTACTTCTCTTATTTATTATTATTATTATTATTATTATTATTATTATTAATGTATTCGATACAGGGTGACACTGTGCAGCTCAGACTTGTAGTGATCCTTCTGTCTCAGCTCCCCCAGTGCTGGGATTACATGAATGTGCCACCACGCTGGGACTCGGTTGCTGGCTCAGCATGTCTAGGGTAGAGCCTGCATAGCCTGTGTTACTGGTCATAAAACACTGGTTCATGTGCTTGCCTAGGCAGGAGCTTAGACTGCTGAGTTAACTCCCTGGCTCCTTCCATTATTATTATTATTATTATTATTATTATTATTATTATTTATTTTTGGTATTTTAGGACAGGGTGTACAGGGTGTTCAGGGTCTCACTACTAGATCAGACTCATAGTGTTCCACCTGTTTACAGCCTCCCAAGAGCTGGGATTACAGGAGTGTGCCACCACACCCAGTCCCAATTGCCTCTGAGTGCATCCTGGGGGGCGGGGCTGGCACAGAAGGCCTGGGGATCCAACACCTGGCCCCTGGGCCTGCTTGCAGGCACTGTTATCTGCTGAGCTATTTGGCTGGCCCCTCCATTATAGTTTTAAATGTTGTGCTTAAGTTTAAAAAATACAGTTGTACAAATTTCAATGTGGTAGAGGTACATGCAATTATCTTATCCTGTAAAGGTTTCTAATAATTTTTATATTTCATAATCGTATTGAGAAATTGTACAAGCAGAAGCTTTATGGAATAAGCATAGTTATTTCCATACATACTTCAAAAGACTCCATACAGATGAGGCAACTCTCTTAAATACTTCAAAGATTTTTCTTGTCCATAAGGAAATCTAATCTGAGCGAGCGACCCTGCTCTTAATTGCTTGGGTTTTTGATGCCACCTTGTGCATGTTTGGGCTCATTTTGACTTCCTCCTCAAAGGCCAAAGGGATGGGACCTACGGGGTTTCTCCAGGACCATAAGAAAAGACTCTTGATCCTAGCAGGCAGGCTATCAAGTAGGTAGATCCTTTTTAATGGCCCTGTGTTTGCTGTTATAGTTTTGTAAAGTCATTAGATATTGAATGTCCAGAGGGGTACTCACAGACTGGTTCCAAAGACTCTGTTTTGATATTTATTCATTTATTTGTTTTTATTTATTTTTATTTATTTGTTTATTTTTGTATTTTAGGGAAAGGTCTAAAAGGTATTCAGGTTCTCACTACTAGATTGAACTCATAGTGACCCGTCTGTTTACAGCCCCCCAAGAGCTGGGATTACAGGTGCAGGTGCACGACATCATGCCCAGTCTCAATTGCCATCTCAGCGCTCCCTAGGGGGCGGGGCCAGCACGGCAGGCCCTGGGATTGAACTCCTGGCCTCTGCACCTGGTTGCAGGTGCTTTAATCCACTGAGCTATTTGGCTGGTCTCTAGTTTTTATATTTAGATAGGTGTCCTAGAACCAATCCTTGCCAAAGGCTACATACACCTTAGTGTAAACCTTGATTATATACATTAATTTTCAACAGAGCTTGTATTAGAAGACCTTTGCTAGTGTATTAGTCAATAAATATTAAATATATTTCCACAGGGCAAATTTCAAAAATGTAGCAACGAAATTTAGATCTTGAATGGATATGTTTTATTCAATCTAACATTGAAATCCATATAAGGGATATCATGTGTTTCTCTAGCTGAAATTTTCAGGAAGCTCTGGGATTTAATAGTCAAAAGTCAAGATCTTCTATATCCATTTCCAGATAATCTCTCTCTTATGACTTTCCATTTTTTTCTGCAATTTTTTTCAGTTCTCTCCAAGGTTATATGCTTCTTTAAAACCCATATGACAAAGATTTTCGAGAATCATAATAAAATTCTAAAAAGTTTAAAAGTAATTGTTTCGGAAAATATTTACTAGGGACATTAAGTATAAATTATGAGGTTGACAAATCAAATACTTTGAAAGAAAAATGCAAACACGATGTTATATTTGAGTTTTCCAGGGAAGGAATACTATCTGCGAGTCAAGATAACTAACATTAATCTAGCATGAGTATATGTGCCAGCTAACGTCTCATTATATTTGTTTCCTAAACAATTTCAGAATAGCTGTGAGCAATAACCATACTTTCGATGACATTGTCATATTTTGGCATCATAGTTTCAACAAAGAATATCAAATACACACACACTTATATACATAATTTTCACTAAAATAACCAAGGAAATTGAAGCAAACAGGCATTAAATGGTGTTCTATAGCTCACCCAGGCCATTGAGATAGGAAGAGATACCTGGACTAGCAGTCTAGTCCCTGATTTGGTCAACTCCTGGGCAAAACGTTCATGTACAATGCCCCATTCATATTCCCCCTTCCTACTAAGTGGTTGTCAAAAGAAACACGTTCATTACCTTTCCCACGTATTGAGGCTCGGAGCCCATGTACTCTTCCAGCACAAAAAATTGATTCCATACCCAGCCACGTTTAACGCGTTGGAAATGGGCTCGTCGACCTGGCAGAGGGTCAGCATTTTCTCGTGGCTCTGTGGCTGATGTCTGTTGTGGCTGTGTTTGAAGTGGTGTTAGGAGACCTCCATCAAACAGGACCCAGAGAAGCAGGGATAGACAGTTCCTTGTACGCATTGGCAAAGGCTTTCCTACAGCAGAGCTATAAAAACTCCAGAGCTTAATCCAGGTGTGTGGAATCCAGGTTTGAGGTGTCTGTGGGTTTCAACCCTCAGGTGTCTGATTTATTGTAGATGATTTAATTCAGGCATTAATCTTTCTGAGGCTTCTGTTCTCTTATATTCCATCTAAAGGGACCTATGAAACAAATTAACAAAAATACATTAAATTAATAACATTTCATAGTTATATTCATCAGAAATATTATATTTACCAGCATTGAAAACAAGAGGACAGACCATTAAATAAGTGTATTGGTAAATATTCACTGTTACTGGAACTGTAAAATGTAGATAAATTAACTCTGTTCTTTATAGACTTTAAAAATTTGCAGTTACATGAAAGCATTAAGTGTATTTTAAAGAGAAGTATATTTTAAAGCAAAAAGTATATTTTAAAGAGAAGCAACATATATCTAAATTCAATTATTTCAAGAAGCATACACAAAGCACTGTTTTTAAAAGGAGTTCTTTAGAGATGGAGTTCCAGCTTCAGCTCTATCCTGACGGTAAAATTAGTGTTAAAAGTTTATTGTAGGTTACATTTGCCAGCTGGAGCTACGGGGAAAAGAACATTCCTATATTTTCAAAGTGGGTTAAGGACTTCAGTCACAGAGGTTTTCTGCACTTGGTACTGGAGGAACATTTAGGGACTCTGGGGTTTCCAAGGGACTTAAATATTGGAGGCCACAAAAACTACATAATGCTTCCAAAACAAAACAAAACAAAAAAAAAGGACTAAAACCAATGCAGGTCTAATTACATGTCTATAAATATGGTGTTTAACAATAAGTGAGCTGATATTCAGATTTGTTCAGTTCTGTAGCATATATTGAAACTGCCTAAAGAATTCTTCATGAATATTATAATTTAAATATTAATATGGGAAGAGGTTATCATTCTAGAGATAAGATCTAAAGTAAGCAGTGTCCAAAACTTAGATACCTCTGAATTCTAGTGGGGTAGTTTGTAAAAGGAGTAACCAAGCTATTCTAACATATCTTCTATCTGAAGGTTAAATACTAACAGAAACCTAAGTTATATGTGTTTTTTGCAGTTTCCAATTCTGGAAAACTAATGTTCCCATAATGTGGATTCACAATGCCTGATAGGTAGTTACTAGTTATACATAGCTTTTTCATTGAAATTCAGCAATTTGGGACCCAGATATAATGCAATATTAAAACATACAGCAAATTTTAAAAGCTTTGAAGAAAAATTTAAGCCTACAAATTTCTACATGTATTATTTTGTCAATAATTAGGTTATTAAATAGATATATAAGTTAAATTGTGCTCTTTTTTCACTTCAGTGTGCTTACTAAAACATTAAAATCCCACTTGCAGTTTACATTGCACTATTCCCTTTGGGATGTCACTCATTGAGCCAGGAGAGCTTGGATCACAAACTCTCTTTACATTCAAAATCAAGTATCTAACACAAACTATACCTTTTGTACAGTAACAATATATTAGCAGATCAGAGGATAGGTGTATCTATTTTCAGTAGCCCTTATAAGCAAGAAAGACACAATTTCTCTACCTATTTTGAAATTTCAACATAATGTCCTCACCTTTCCCTTTGTTCCAGATTTCTTCCCTTTATCACCCACATCAGCATTCAGGGTTATACGCTTCAAATAGTTGTTCACCTGTCTCTATTTTTTATTTCTGCCTTTCTAATTTATGAAATACTTTTTTCTCCATTGATTTGTACATGTGAGGTATCATATTGTGGATTTTAGAAAGCATTGACATCTATATTCTTTTCTTTTTTTTTTAATTTTTTTTTATTTTATTTGAGAGAGAGAGAGAGAGAGAGAGAGAGAGAGAGAGAGAGAGAGTGGTGTGTGTGTGTGTGGCCAGCTCAGCCCACCAGGGGGCGGGGCTGGCTGGCATGTGGTGCTGGGGGATTGAACCGCGGTCCCTGATGCTTTGCCAAGCTTGTTCTAAGTAGGTGCCTTAGACCACTGAGCCATCTCTCCAGCCCCTATATTCCTTTCTGTAAAGATTTTAAACTAAATGCACATATGTTTTATGTTGGATAACTGGCTATACACTAATCATCACTGGCATTACTGTGTTTCAGGTTCAGCTTTTTTTTCACAAGTCAAAAGCTGCTAATATCTGGGTTGTGATCAGCTATCACAGAAATAATTTTGAAATTCTGGTATAGCTATATCTTTCCTCAATTTTGCTAGATGTGTCTCTAATGAGACAGTCTGATCACACGTGATTGGTAAGTGGGGAAGTATTTGGGCATAACCTGGGAAGTTAACCTGTAAGCCAGTCCCCATGACATCCACTATAGACATCTCCAGAAACAATAGAGAAATGCAAACATGATAATAGGGGTGAAAGTAACAAAGCCTCAGAAGACAGTGTGCAACACATTTCGCTTTCCCTTGGGTCAATATCTTCTTCTTTTGGCCCTCATTGGAGATAGACTCTCTCATATTCTGTTCTGTTTCTTCTACATGCCGGCGCATTTTGCTCTCTCCCTAAATAGAATGGTCCTTATGGCTCTCATACAAAATTAATTTAATTTTCACTTAGATAATTTTATTTCCAGAGATAAGTATCTATAGGAATATATATATATAT